CTTCCCCCCCCCCCCCCAGTTTATTCTGAGTTGGGTGAATACCTGAAGCAGGGGATTAGTAGGAAGACATTCCATTTCTAGGTCTCCAGCTTCAGTCTAGCTCAGAGCACTGACTTGTTTTGCAGCTTTAGGAAAGCAGTTGGACAGAGCTGAGATTCAAGTATGTCATCTGTAAAGTGGGAATACTTTGTCCACCCAAATTGGGTGTTTTTCAGGCCAGGTAACACAATGATAGGCAGCATTGTAGATCCTCTAAGAACAGCAGAACCAGTGTTTGCTTTGATAGGCAAGGATGAGAAGTGTGGTAGAAATGCATAGTAGTGTTACCTGTCAGCTGTGAATCAGAAAGCATTGAAACAACTAACTGTAAATTAACTGAGAAGAAAAATAGTTCAACGTAATTATTAGTATTACAGGCACTGTGAATTAACAAATAACACCCACCACCACCACCCCCTGCAATTTTTAAGCATAAAAATGCATGTGGTCTTTTTTTCTCATTCACACTCATAAATTAGAAACACAAGCCTATTTAGTGGGTAAACAGGGGCAATTAATTGCTTGGTCTGTTTTTTTTAAGATACCATACTAAACAGGTCCCATTAGAGTTCTTAATTCATTCTGGCATTTGATGACATCATGAAGCTTGCTGGGCGTTAATTTTTAAACAGCATACAAAGATGGACAAAAAAAAGCTATTTGTGTCATGGGTTCTCAATATTTACTTTTTGTTTGTTTGTATTCTTTTGAAGTAAATTGCAAGAGTCTGAGAAGAAGAACATGGAACTGTTGACAGATATTGAAAGGCTGAAAAAGGAGACAGAAGAGCTTAGATCAGAAAAGGGTATGGCAACTGATATCCAAGTAGATAACATGTTTCACATTCATGGGTACATCTTATCAATTAAGTGTCACCTTACAACTAAAATATGATACCAACAGGCTTTGACATACAAAATGTGAGCACAATTGCATGTTAAGATGTACCCACAGCAGTTGCATTTGCACTTCTAATACATACTTGTAATATGCTTCAGTTTTGTTGATATACTTGAACCAGTAAGGTATTATTTGAGTTGGAACTGCGTTATTTTTATTTGGCATGTGTACAGTGATTTACTGCCAGAAAACTGTTAGAAGTGTAGATATATTTATAATTTTTTCCCCTTTATGATGGGTGAAGGTATTTAGACTTCAATACTAATCATAGTGTTCTTCATCTATGAATGTTTTGGCCCTGTCTACAGAGGGAGTAAACAACTGCAGAGGCATTCATAGCATTCATTTGTTTCTGGGATGACTTTGTTGATTGCCTTTGTAACCATGAAGTGAGCAGTGTGGTCATGTTTGGTTTGCTGTGGTATTAAGAGGATGTTCTGGGATTTCTAGTGCATCTGTCTAACAGTATTTTGCGTTGTTGCTGGGAGAAGAGACTTTCTGGTAATTCTGAAATGAAAAAAAGTTTCATTGAGAGATGACTAATGATTTGGCTGATTCTTTGCAGTTCCCCTAGTAGCTCTAATATTTGTGTCTTATGAGTCACATGGGAAGAAGTGATTTTTCAGACCAAATGGAATTACCTGATTTTTTTGTAGGGAACTGTTTGAACTCCAGAGTTTCAAAACCCTGGCAACAATTGCTGCATGGGGATGTCAGATATTGTTCAGCCTTTGCAACCTAATGGCATGTCAATCAATAATGTATTGTAGTTAACATTCATCTCCTGTATAAAGGCCTCCAAGTGCTGGTTGGCTGGTAAAAATAATACAAAACTATACAGAACATTAAAAAATGACTGGTGCTGATTAGCAAATAAGACTTAGGGAATTGATACTTGTTTGTCTTGACACTTAGCACTGATACCAGGATTATGCTTCTTCCAAGTGCTTGGAGAGGAATTCTTGATAACATCTCCCCGCAGACAATAATGCTTTGTCATGTTTAGCTTTCATTTATAGATTCTTGAACTGTCTTAAATATTATGCATGGTTACTTGGCTTCTGAAATCTTCCTTTGTGTTAAACAATCTGTTAAGAACTTATAATTATAATTAATATTTTACACTGTATTTTTTCTTTCCTTAAAAAAAAAAAAAAAAAAAAAAAAAAAAAAAAAAAAAGGAAAATGTACTGTTCAAGGAAAAGTTAGTTGTTATGCTTTTTGCTAGAAGTAAATTAATAAGATTCTACTGCAACTATTCAAATACTTGCATAGAAATACACCTTAATCCAAAATCCTTATTATCTTTGGACTTGGTTTTCTCTTATAAGAAGAAATACATTGATGTTTGAATCATGAACTGTATAGAGGATTCAAATGTAGTCAATGTACAGTGGTAGAGTAACTTCTGTGTGTGGAAATTAATTTCTTCGAAGGGATTACTTAGATTAGCACTTGAATCCTTTTGCTCTTTATAAATGTGTTCCAGAAACTGAGGAGGGTGGGGAAAAAGATTACAAAAAATGATTCTGTAAAGTAGCAGGTAATTTGAGAATTGTTTTTAGTCTTTTACTGGGGTTTCAGTGTATTTATATTTTGAAGAGGAAAGGGTTCTTTGTAACTTCTTTGTTCACTGTGGGTTATATTTAGAGCAAACGGGGTGATATGGCCAGTTAGAACAAGACACTGACATTTTTTAAAAGAAATAAGTGACCTTTGATAGCATCAGTCTTTTGAGATGCACACTGTCCTGCAGGCTCTGGTCATAATAAGTATTATATATAATGTATTTATAGTGTTCAGGAAGCTAGAGTCTGTACACATCTGTGATTTATAAACACCCACACAGCAACTTGACTTATTCCCCAAATAAAAGAAGAAGAAAAAAATATATCAGTTGAAGCAAGTTAAAATAACAGTCAAGATACGCCAGCCTCTGCAGCTCCAGAAGATGCAGCGTTCCTGCTCTGCTTGCTGGCTGAAAACCGTGTAAACGGTGTAGCGTGACAGAGACATTTGAAGCTTTACCCAGGATTGTATTACTCCTGGACGTTCAAAAGTGAGAGGTGGCAGACAGGCATAGAGGTCAAGGAACTTGTATTATTTGGAAATGCAGCGTGCTCCTCAAACAGCCTGTTCTGTACGTTTTTGTGGAACCTCGCTGTTTGCCAAAGCTGTCTCGTCACGGTAGGCTCTCCAGCGTGTGACTAGAGCAGGCACGACACCTGCTGCATTAGTGTGTATGCCTGTATGTCATGCAGTGCATCTTGCAAATGGACATAAGTGCATTAGAAGCCTGTGCCTTCTGCATAACAGACACACACATACGGTATGTTTTCATGTTGAATTCACACCACGCACATCCTAGCTTAGAAAAGGTTAATTAAACATACGCTGCTTGCTTAGTGGGTGTATGTCTGTCTAAAAAATCTTTTACTCTGGAAAACAGACCAAATGTGACAACTCATTTCAAAAAATATAAGTTCAGGTGGATACTCAAACCCCGATTCAGCAAGGCAAAGGTCCTCCATGAAAAGGCCATTTTTCTGTAGCTTAAAAACCTGCTGCTGTTTTCTAGGTGTAAAGCACCAAGACTCACAGAATTCTTTCTTGGCATTTTTGAATGCGCCTACCTCTGCTCTGGATCAATTTGAAGTAAGTGTACAGCTATTCTAACTCTCTGTTAGTCAGTGGAACTACTGCTGTTATGTGCAGGTTATGTGCCTATTTGCTGAGAGTTTGCTACTGTATTTTAATCATATTGCCCGATTTATATTTGTGTATAATAATATGTGAGAATTGTTTGTCATTTACAGTGCTGGCTGTCTTCTCTTGAACACTAGTAATCATAGTGAATTCTCTCTGAAACCTTGAATGCAGAAATTTTCCTAATTTTGTAACGAACATGAAAAGCATAGTTGTTCAAATGGCCTTTCTTTGTATTCAGAAAAATGCTAAGTAATGTGGATACTGGTTTGGTAAAAATGAGAGAAAATACATAAATAATCCATGAAGTCACTGGTACTGTATATTTATTAAGTTGTTTTCATCTTCTGTTCATTTTACAGAGATTTGTAAAATCCAGATAACTATTCAGCTCCTCTCCACAGATCCTATATACTTAAAACATAAATCTGTTTAATTCCTTTGTTACTTTTAGACAAAAGACCAGTTTAGGCAGAAAACCTGGAAGAAAAAAATTGAAACGATACTATACAATTCATATCTTCTTTTTTAATCAACAGTAAGCAATGCATCATTTTTCTTTTAAAAGAACAGCTGGGGTGAAATACTGGTCAAACTGAATTCAGAGGAGACAAGGCACCACCTCTACAGTTACACATGGGTCTAAAATTTGCCTCTGTTTTTTTCCTAATGGGTGTACAAGGTCATCACATTTAGCTATGAAAGAGCATAATTACTGATGTTATTGATGTCCCAAAGTGTACTTTGTTTTCATTGTGTATTCATTAATTCATTGTTCTCTCTCAAAGTCCTCACAGTTAATACCATTTTTAAATTTGCTTTTAAATTATTTATCTTATAAGTTACTTTCAATATAAAAATCCTGTTGGAGTATAGGAATATTATTTTATTGAGTGAATGCTAGAAAAACATTGGGTTTTATACAGGTAGTTTATACAATTTAGTTTATACTAAACTGATTAATTGTCTATGAAAGGCAATTAATGAAAACTTACCGAGGTAACTGTTACTGGCACTAGTTATTTACAGTTCTTTATTTTTGCACTTTTATTTATACTGAACAGTTTTCTTCATCCATCTCTTTCTCTCTCTCTCTTTTTTTTACTGCTGTTTTCATTAAAATAGGATTCCTTTTCCTCCTCTTCATCCTCATTGATTGATTTTATGGATGACGTAAGTCTGACTATCAAACCAGTAAATCCCTCAATAACAGAGATCAGTTGATTGATCTGGAATATTCAAACATTAATGCAGTCAACTTAAAAAAATCTGCAAGTGAACAGAATATTTCTGTAATAGCATACTTACACCTATTTATATGGATAGATGTTCAGTTTTAAAGTAAATGTTTTTCTGTAGGTGCAGGTGAAGAATTCTTAATTGCAGACAGTTTTTTCTAATGGGGAGAAGCTGCTTTTGGGCCTTATCTACTGATGCGGTCTGTGAAAAATGGTTCCAAAATCACTGGCACATTTATTTCATTTAGTTTAATTGCTTCATATTATTACTTTATCATTAATTGTTTCTGAAAGTTTTCTGTTGACTTCAGTGAAACTGTTTTCCTTGCATACAGTCAATTTCTGTTTGCTCAAATAAAATATTGTCTCCTTTTTAGCCTATACTCTAAGTAGTAATTTTCATTATAACTGAAGTGAACTTATTACTTTTTATTGCCATTTGAGATGCTAGTTTTCTGTCAGGACAGTGTTTAAATATTTACCCTAGTTAATGGCACACTAAGGGAATTGAGTTAAAAGCTGAAAATTGACTGCATTATATTTCTTCCAGACTGAAGTAGTAGGCACATAAAAGTAAACAATAATAAGCTTTTTTAAAAATGGAAGTTTATGCTATGCAGCCATGGTAGAGAACCATCCATTACCACTCTGTAGGTATATTGTGTGTGTACATCTGTGTGTGCTTGTATATACGTGTATACACATACGCAAATATTTATACATGTGTATTTAAAATAGTATAATCCTGTGTGCATTAAAATGTGATATAATTAATTTTATTCTAGAAATGTCTGCTGTGAAGGGTGTAACAAAGAGGGTATAGTATATGGCCCTGTTCTGCTGATTGCATTTCCTTTCCCAAACGCTGAAAGAATGCTTTTCTTCTAGATGCCTTTTTTCTGTAAATCAGGTACATACCTTAGACAAAATGCAAAGGTACATCTGTGGTACCGTAGTAGAAGGTATTTGCCTGCATTTTTGTATAGCATATAGAAAACTGTCTTGCTGATATTGCTGGAGTTTTCTTACACGAAAAAAATGAGAGTACAGTTTCCTGTCATGTTAAATCTACAATAAATTAATAATATTTATATCCTTTATCTGGATTAAAGAAGTGTTCTCTATTTTGCCTGAGTATTAGGAACACTTAGTGTGTATCAGCAGGTTCTTTCATAGAAAGTTACCTTTAAAAATATCTAATACTCTCTCCTAAAAGCTCTTAAAGGAGAAATAAAGTACATATGCTGCAGAGTAGCTGATAATATTATATTTTGCAAGGGGAAACTTAGGACAGGCAAGTTTTCCTCGTTGCTATCTAGTTAGTTTTGAAGGACATCAGTACTTTATTCTGTATTTATTGTTGTTCGGTTGGTTTTGTTTGTTTTTTTTTAAAAAGGCAGCATATTTTTTTTCACAAGCATTTTGACAAAATCACATTTTTTTTATCTGTGCAAGTGAATAATTGTCAACTGTTGGCGTACATCCTTTAAGACATTCTTCTTGATTGGTCCACCCAGATCAAATCTTTCCAGATACCTATCTTTTAGTCTTAGGTAAAACTCCAGGTATCAATGTGTATATTGTTGCATGTGGATGACTGTACTACATGCAGAATCAAACTTCCCCTGTTACATCTTCAGTCTGAGTCCAGATTCAGGAGCATTTTTTTCTCAGTTGCATTGGGCAAGAGTACGTTTCTGGACTGGACTGGCCAGGGGCTAACGTCTCTAACACCGGGGCAGAATTCTTTCTCATCTGGAAAAACTGCAGAAGAGGAGAGTTGACTGTTGTGCTTGAAGCCAGTTCTGCATCTTTCATTTATTGAACAACTACTTGATTCATTCATAGAGAGATTTGTAATATATAGCCTCTGAATTATCAAAATGAATGGTTATTTATGTTTTAGCTCATTGAGTTGGTTCAATATCAATGTATTAGGTGGACTGAAATGAAAATAAGGGTATCAAAAATCCCTCGCCACTGGGTGTGACCTTCATTCCCTTCCTGATGTCTCTTTTTGACAGTAGTTCCCTTGAAGGGCAGTGTTTCTTGCAGCATCTCAAGAAGAATTAATCTGTGTCCAGTCAAACCTGAGAAGTGTGTGGGTTCTTTATATTAAGACCAAGGAAAAATTAGAAGTCCTCAGGTCAGACTTATGCAATGCTGCAGTATTGCATGGGTTTCAGGAAAGCCTCTCCTGTAATCAAGAACCCAAAGTAAATATTACTAATGGCCCACATTGTTTCTTCAGCCTCTGGGCTGCATTAAGAAATGACAAAGAGAGTGTAAAATAATATGCAGTTGCAGTTACATACTTTGCAAGATCTCTGAAGTCTATGTAACATATAGATGTGTAAGCAGCACTGAGTTTAGCCCACTTGATTACATTTGGAGTTTACTAGGGTGGGCGTGTCTTGTGTGTCTGCCATCCAAATAATGTAATTGTTTCATCTGTGAATGACTGGAGTTAATTTTTTTCAATGAGGAAAATGGTAGTTTTGCAATTTCTGCTGGAGAGAAGTAAAAATAGATGTCCCGCTGCCTCTGTAGCCTGCAGATGCGGAGCAAGGAAAGTGGTAGCTCACTGTTCAGATGAGTAGCAGTCACTGCTGGTTCTGCCTCTCCCTCCTTGATAAGATACTTGGTCAGGTTGGCAGAACTGGTGCCTGAATCCTCACAGCTGCGAAAGCCCACGCGTTCAGAACCGATCCTTGTATCTCCTGTGCACACGGGAGGGTGCAAAGTGGAGTAGGAATGGGTTTTGCTGTCCCTGGTTTCTGATTTTGGTGGGGAGGGAAGTCACCCTCAGTAACTCTAATATACTAATTCCTAAATCTTTGCCGCTGTTTCTCCTGTGTGTTGCAGGCTGTCTCTCAGTAACATCGTCTAGGTGTTAAGTCTCTTGTGTTCACTAGAAGTGTGTGATAATGGAAGTGTTGGGTTTTGGTTTTTTGCAGGTGGATCTTTGTGTATCTCACTAGCTACTAGAAGCAATCAACTTGTTTTATTTAAAGATCAATTTGTGGTTATTTAATAACAATAAAATGGAATCCCATTTTCCCGTGACAAAATTATTTTCCCTACTTGCTAGAAAATATTATTTTTCCTGTGTTACCAGCACATTACGAATTAAAAATAGGTTTCTTAAGTCCTCCTGCAGTCTGTCCTCACATGCAGTCCCCATGGGCTTTGGCTAGACTAAACAAATCTGAACTTTGTAAATAACCACAGAATAAATCATGTTCTGAATTCTCATTATTAAACAGAATAAGCCACAGTAGTGTGCGGTGAGAGCCCTGATTCTACCTGCACATTCATAATTAAGTTTAGAATAATTCTGGTTCTTACTGATACTTTAAACTGGACATGTTGCGCCTCCAAGAGACTGCTTTATTCATCTTGTTCCAAGTGCAGAGATGCTAACTGCAAATTACTAGTGTAACATAGTCTGCAGTGTCACTGCTATAGTCGAGTGTGCAACTACAGACTTTGAAATAGCTGTTCCTTTTTTTTGATGTTTCTTCCCTCTTGTTGCCCCAGAATATCTTGTTTTCGAAATACTTGTAAAAATGAACATGTTTGTGTGTGTGTCTAAACGCTACCTCTGGAGATACAGAGCGACGAATTCTGAGCTGATGTATGTGTCACTGTTTGGTTTTGTAACATATTCTCCTCCTTTCTTTGTTAAAGCGCTCTCCTTCCTGTATTCCAGCTAACAAAGGCAGACGTGTAAGAGGCTGTCTTACTCTATGTGGCCCTTTATTTTTTGCCTGTTGTGTACATGCCTTTGTTTAATGTATGGATTGTGTATTTACCTCACTGCATGTCTTGTGCTGCTGCTCCCGTTTGCTGCTGCTGCTGTGCTTTTTGTTGTTTTACAGCTGTGGGCTAAAAGGCTTTTGGAGTATTTCATTTGGTAATCCTATAAGCAGAATATCACAGTAACTGAAGAAGATGCTTTGGGTACTTTCTCATTTCAATATGAAAGGTCTTTGTGAAAGCTGATGAGGTAGATGCAGGTTGGGAAGATGAGCAAATGTCAAATGAGGGCCTGTTTGTTTCCTTGCCCTTGGCAGAGGGCGTGTGTTGAGTTATGAGAATTGCCTGTAGAAGGTAGAAGTTTGGCATTTGGGAGGCATGCCATAGCAAATCATAGAAAATCTCATAGTACGGAGATAAATAAATGGGAAGTGGGGAATTGAGTGAATTGGAGCATCAAGGAGGGCAGGATAAATTCATACAAGGACAACAGAGTTGGATGTGTTGTGGTCTGTTAAGCTGGAAAGCTCTATGGTGTTTCAAAAATCAAGGTGGATTTTTAAGCATGGTGTTATCAGAGCTTTGTCAGACTGAATTCATACCAGGTATGCTATGCCCATTTTAAACTCATACTGCCGCTTTTGTTTCTTTTATACACATACGATGATAGGAATAGGAAAGCGTACAAAGCATTTATACTGAATATTCAATAAATAAGCAATAATGCCCAACAGCTCTAATAATGACCTTACCTATGCCATTCAAAGCACACCGCTCAGTGTCTTGGGCAAGTTTACAGCAACTGCTTGTTTTGGCCGGCTGTGGCTCCGATTCCGAAATTCATCTCTCCTGAAGATGTGTTTGTACACTGGCCAACTTTGGCTCAGACCTACACAGGTGACACCATTTAGACAACTAAGCACAGTCCTGTGGAAGATGACAAGGCTATTACAGTTTGGTAGGAAATATTGAAATATGCTTTTGATAATCCAGTGGATTAGTTTAAAACTAATTTTAATGGCGTTAATACACTCCATGTAAGCTTTTGGCCATAGTTGAGTCAGGTTGCTTTTGTACTTAGTTCTGCTCATTAAAGGAAGGAACCTGGAGATTACTGCAGTGATACAGCTTCAGGCCCTGTTTCTGCAGTAAAGGCAGTGGTAAATTCCCTTCAAATTCTGTAATGGTAGATCAGGTTCTGTGTGTTTTGCAGGCTTTTTATGTTCATCAGTAAAGTAAAAATATGTTTGTTACTGGTT